CTGACGTGCCACATAGTTGCATAATTAACTTCCCGAACTTCGAGGGCCAGTATTTCACAGGGTTAGATACTTTGATTCCTTGCGATCTTGCTACGGCACGAAAAGTGCAAAAACGCATAATGCGTTCTAGCCTGGGTTTTAATTCAAATGCATGCTCGCCCATGTCAACATCAAGTTATTATTGAAACACCCCGAACTGGCTGGGTTCTCCAGTGACTGAATTTTCGCCACTTTTTGCTGGCTGTTTGGTAAGAGTATTGTTTCACACTTAGGTTCAGCTTTACCAAAATGTAACTGCTCCAAGTTTAGTTACTCTCTTGTCCGGATCTCACTTTCGATTCTCCTAGCCCTGGTTGTTAATGCAAACAATTCAAATTAACCTCCAGTGTTAATAGTCGCGTGAGCACTGTCATTAATTGATAGATGGCGGGTTTTTTTGTCCTTAAAGGTCAAGTACAGAGAGGTCACGCATTTTGACTCATGTGGACGGAGCAGTGGTGGGTGATTGTGTTCCGGAAAAACGAGGCTTGGATAAAGAGAGACAGGCAGTGAGAAGGGTGCGGGAGGTGTGTCAACCTTATCCGGAATACAGCTAAACAGATGGGCGTTTCTTGTGTCCACTGCTAGAGCTTCGTGGTAGTGCCCACACTCCTCATCAGTTGCTGAATAAGCTCGAGGCTACTCGGTTGCTTTCCTATTCACTGTTTGCTGGACGTGGACGATCAGAAAAATGTCGGGGCGAAGAGAAGAAACTGATATTGAACATATGCCGCTGAACTCCAACGTCGATGCGCCGCTTGCCGTCGACAGTTCGGCCACTGCAGTCGGCAAGCAATATCCCAGTTGTGGAACCGTTCTACAAAACGTAAGTTTTTATTCGGCCCGTTGAAAGAACGGCTTTCCTTTGGTATAGTTATATTTGACTTGGGCTGCGTTATAAAGTGCCTTTCACTCTCACCCTCTCGCTATATATATATATATATATATATATATGTATATATACATATATATGTACATATATATACATATATATATAATGTAATGCTATATCGCTATATAATTATATGTATACATACAATTATACATATATATATTACACATATAATTTTCTCATTTCTATGCCTTTTGCAAAATAGAAAACAATTTCGTCTCACAATACAAATATGAACAAGGTAAGGTCAGTTTTCGAACCATACAATATTCTGATCGAGGTGCACATGTTCAGATTTTATTATTGCTTTAGCTTTACTATGAAAAAGGTCATGCATGATGCACCCAGAACAACGATCCGCAAAAAAGAATGAACAAGTCAAACCTGAGATGCACGTCGCGATTCTCAAAAAAATTTAGCATGCACTTTAAAAAGAAGCATTTGTCTCTTCTCCGCCCTTCCAGGCTACCTTATCTTTGCTTCTCTGACTTCGCTACAAGTAGCAAGGATTTTCTTTAATCCGGG